GCAGATGACATATACTGAGGAATGTGAGGGTTGATTTCCTTCCCATCTTCACCCAGTCCAGCAGGAGCAAGCCCCGCCTTACGCGCTTCCTCCAATTCAATCTGTTTGCGATGGTCCTCCCTGGACTTAAACGCCACTACAATGCACGCCATACAAGTTTCAACAAAACATTGAGATATAATGCAAAATGAGATAAACACATTCACGTTAAAATTACAATTAAAAGAAGAAAACACAAGTAAAAAAATAATAAATTGAAGTAAAAAGTTTCAAACCAATTAACCAAAAACCAATAAGAAAAAACCCCTCAATGTTTACCAGACCCTACCAGGATTACCAACTTGTTCGTAATAACTATTAACAACACATGATGAGTATTGATTAACAGATTTAAATTGAAAACCTGATTGGGACTGGACGAATGAACGAAACATAGCAGAGCCCGAAAATTAAAAATTACAAAATCCAAAAACGAAATTGAACAACAAAAATAGAATTTGGGCAGAAAAAACGACATGTTGGTTAAAAAATAATTAAGAATGATATCAGAAACCCTAGAAAACGAGAATATGATAATAGGTGGGAGAAAAGGTGTACCTGAAGCGGTGGCCATGATGTGAAGAAACGCAGAATCGAAGTGAAGATCAGAGACGAAACGAAGAAGAGGAACGAAGCTGAGTCACAGTGTTTTGATTTGGGATTTTGCAATTCAACACGCTTATTATTAGCTTATCTTTTTAGCCTCCGCAAAATCCGATCATGGCGGTGTTAGTTAAACGACTACGTTTCAATTTATATTTCTCTCTCTAATCGACTATAGTCTTCAAAATAGATTGGGCTTGTCAAGAAGCCCATACCAATGACTCAGACTCAAGCCTTTTTTGTCACAAGCTCAATTAGTTTATAAATATACTTTTTTGTTTTGTTATTTTCTCTTAAATATCCTTCTATTTTATTTTCTATCTCATTAGACTTAACTAGATGTTCACATGTGCTTTGCATGGGTTAATATATATATATTAGAAGAAATATTAAGACATTAAAGTTTTATTGTGATTTTAATTTTTTAAGTTTATTATGTTGTCTTATTGATATAAAAAAAAAGTTCATTATCTTATTAACATGATTCTTAAAACAAATTGTAACAACAATTATAAGAGATATCAAAGGATAATTGAAATTAAAGATATAAATGATGAATATGTCAAAAAAATTTCATAATGTTTATGAAGAATACATTATTATAGTTGAGAGGACACATTATTATTTTCATTTTCTAATTGTGCAATTTTTACTTTTAGACCAATTTACTACATAATTTAGTTAAAAATATAATAATTATATAATAATTCTTATAATATATTATTTATTAGTAGAGTCGATAAAATTATTTAATTCAAACTCAATTACATAAAAGTGAAATTCAATTATCATTTAAAAACTAACCTGTAAAAATAAAAATAAATGAAAAAAGTACATAATTGTTAATGAAAACGTCTTTGGTTCAACATTATACACTTTGGTAAGACTTATCGGATAACATATTCCAAGCACGCACATCATCTTCATCATGCAAGACAGGTGGTGTGTGGCCAATAATAGCTCACCAAACATCATGATGGAGCAAATGTTTTACCCTTCAAAGATCCTATTCACCTTGAGCATCCATATATTGTGACACATAATTGTTGCACTTCTCTTCTAGTACGTCTTTGATAACCATACTTGCAATAATTAGAAATTTAACCATCTAAACATCTAGCAAAAAAATGGACCTTGGCCTCATAATCAACATGCTAAATTATATTCTTTTTAACTAACTCCCATACTAAGCATATTCCTCACCACAAATAAGAAGCATTTGGTTGAGAAACTATAGAAGGCAAGGTATCATCCCCATATTTGATCTTTGACCAAAGAATCTAAACCCACAACTTGTGCATTTATGAACAAATAACCTAACAATTCTTTATCATGTATAAGTTATTCATGTTTATGACACTTTTAATTCAAAGTCCACCCCCTGGCTTAAGCTTATAGATATCATCCCAAGCTACTGCATGTATTTGTCTTTGTACATCATTGTCCCCCAAAACAAAGCTTCGACATTTTTTTATCCAAATCATCACACAACTGTCTTAGCAAAAAATTGTTTGCATGACATACGATGGGATAGGTGTAAGAATAGATTTGATTAAGGTAACACGACCTGCAAAAGAAAGATTTCTTATCTTCCATCAACTAAGCTTTTGGTTCACTTTGTCTAGTACCCCCTATCCATAGTCTTGCTCACTCTTATGTTGAATTGGGACTCTTAAATACTTGCCCAAATCATTAGTACATTGGTATCCAAATCGATAGCTAATTTCCTCCCTAACCCACCAAGGTACATTTTTTTGAAAAGAAAATTCTAGTTTTTCTTTACTAACTTTTTGACCAAAGCTGCCACAAAGTAAACCCAAACAGGATTGTATTAGATCCACTTTATCCAAATGTGCTTCAACAAACAAAATGAGATCATCCACAAATGCCTAGTGAGAGAGCGCATGCCTCCTTTAGCAATCTTTATAGGCCTTCAAAGATTATGAGAAACTGTCATCTCAACAAGAATAAATAGTTTCTCCAAGCAAAGAACAAATAGATCATCAAGCAATCTCTTATTTTGCTTGAAACCTTGATTGTGTGCTAAGAAACATGAAGTAGTAAGAGTCATCAAGCATATACAAAACTGTTATGATGCATTTATGTATAAGACTTCACATTGTGTAAAAAACTTCAACAAGACATTCCATTAATTTGTCAATTATTAAAGTTGTAGCAAAAACGTTTTGTGATCTCACTAACAAACAAAAGGATATCCTTGCAAAGAATTAAGCCTTAGATAGGTCTAAATCATCAAAAATCGGGTCCATTTTGCAACCAAAACTTCTTTAAACTATGTGAAAGTGGTGCATGAAAAATTGTTGTTAAAAGCACTTCTGTGCAAAATGTACAACAATGTGAAATTAACAAGTTTTTCTTAAATATGATTATTAAGTTCTTCAAAAATAGGTTATAAAGCAAAATGCATTTAAGAATGTAAAATTTACCTATCAATTTATAATTAAAAACAAAACTAAAACTACAAATTATCCGTCAATTTAAGCACATCCTTTCTATTCTTCGTGCATGCCTCCGAATAAGTACTTCAAGAATTTTCACGAGTTGGGGAACTCATTAATGAAGAACCCTTCAATGGGATACATAATGATATATAATGCATGGAAATCTAGTAATTTAGAATTTAATTCTTGGATATGAAGTATCTAGAGAATGAGAATAAGGACCTTATAATAGGGTGCCAAAATCGAACAACCCAAATGAAAAATCACAAATCGATCCAAAAAAATTGAAAATTGATAGAAAATTAAAAATTAACGATTTGATTTGGTTTTTAAATCAAACAGTTTGGTTTGATTTTTGGATTAGAATTTGAAACCACTTCAAACCAAATCAAATCACATTTATTTGTAAATATATTTTTTTTCAAATGCATAATGCATTTATACAAAATTGACTCATAACATAAAAGGTGTTTTATAAAATTTTAAGCTACTAAAAAAAATTTTTCTCTCCAAATATACTTTATAATATTTAAAAGGTATTTTATAAAATTGCAAGCTATTAAACTAAGTTTTAGAATGAAAAATTATTATTATTTATAATGTTCAAAAATATTTTTTTTAACTGACAAACTATATATATAACTAAAATTGTATTAAAGAAATATTTTTACTAAAATAATAAGATAATAATTAGTGTTAAATAAAATGAATAAAACTAATGTTTCCAAAATAAATTAACAGAAACAACATCCTAATTTTGTCCTAGCTATGCCCCAATGTGACATGTCTTACCAGAGCAAAACCTATCACTGAAGCCTAAGCTTCATCACCAACATCCTTAGTTTCATTCTAATGATCACTTGCATAACAACCAAAGAAAAACAACACAAAATAAGAATATTTGTAGGAGTTTTTAAGTGATGATATTGTTTAGGTTTGTTATCACTTTCCTAAGTAACATGTTTTGTCCAAATATAATATATTGACAGTTTATTTATTTATTTATTTTTAAATATAATTATTAATTTTGATATCAAATTTAATTTGATTTAACAATTAGTTTTTTTTAAAAAAAATTCAACGATCTTAAATTACTGCATTTTATTAATTTTTTTATCTCTTTTAATTATCATTTTTATCTTTATTTCTAATTGAATTTTAATTTTCTTTAAATGAATTATTAATAGTTAAAATTAATCTTGTACCATAATATTGATTATTTATCATCAATCTGAAAATAATTTATTTGTGTCTAATTTTTTTTTATTCAATAATTTGTATAATAATTTCATTGAATTAAATTTTAATTATCTAATCATTAATTATTTTAAAAAATAAAATTTTCTTAAAACACTCTTATTCAATATTATTATAGTTTATTAATTTATATAATAATTATTTTATGTGAGATTATTAAGAAAATATCTATTATTTGATTTTTATTTATATTTTATTTTTGCTCAAGCATATTTTAAAGTAGTCAAGACGATAAAGATGAAATTTTAAAACTTGATCCAAAAGGTATGATAAATAAAATGATAGAGTTCTAGTCTAAACATTCTTCCTATAAAAAAATGTGTAGCATACATCTATTATGATAATAGAACATAGTTTAATAGTTGTAATTTTTTTCAACATGAAGGAGTAATTTTTCAAAAGTATTTCATATTGTCTAATTAACACAACGTCTCTTGTATGAGTTTTTGGTGTATTATTTTGTTCTCAGTTGAACCTTTTTATGGACAAAGTCTTTTTAATAAAAACATAGTTTTTAATTTTAATCCTTAACCATCCCTTGAATGGTTACCTATTCTTAGTAAGTCTCTTTGGTCGTTGATGCAAACAAAAAGGTTATAAGAACCGAAAACAAATTAATATCACAAGTTATCACCTCCATGTAACTAGAACTTTTGCACGCTAATGTAGTTCAAAGCAACCTCAACAATCGTGTAAATTATTCTTCGAATTCAATTATATAAGCTTTGGTTCTTTTTCTCTTCTACATTTTGATATATGATATAGGAAAAAAAAAGGTGTGGATTAGCATGCAAAGGGGTAAGATGAAGTTGGATGAGGATCTGGGTCCTGATCGTGAGGATGATTTCCAAACTGATGATGAAGAAAATCAGGCACAAAGGGTGTTTGAACATTTATTGGATGATGATTCTGAATCAGATAATAATCCTTCTTCACCAAGTTTGTCTCATGAGGTTTCCATTACCTCTTGGCCTCAAAGCTATAGGTAATATTGATTAATTGTTAATTTTACATGAATTATTACATTATTGTTGTTATTGTTATTATTATTATTATTATTATTATTATTATTATTATTATTATTTTAGGGCTATCCATTTTGTTGTACATTCAATTCTTTCTCTGAATAAGTTATTCTTGTAGGATGATTTGTCACATGTTTTTTAGTTCTTTTGGCCTTGGTCATTTGCATTGGTCTTTTTTTGAATTCGAGAAACAAATTACTACCACCATTAACATGATTTGTTCATAAAGTTTCAACTTTCATGTGTAATTCATGCAGTGATATGGTTATCGACAAAAGAGAATTCATAAACTAATGAATCCAATTATGAATATGCAATTTAAATAAATTTTTCATGCATGATGTTACACATGTACACACATAAATTTTTATGGAATTAATTTTTGTTAACCATAACACTCCAGGAAAAATTAATGAAGTTACAACTAAGGGAATTGGTTGAGATGCGATGAATGATTAATGGAGTATTCATACAAAATAGTTAAGCATTTGATACATATTATATATGGAAGAACTTGGAACTTGTTAACACTTGACCCCATTTGGATAAATTTATCCATACACACTTATATGAGAAGAAAATAAGAAAACAAAATGAATTGAACTTCTCACATAAGTTAAAAATTAACTTATGTAGTTAACAATTATGTAAACTCTTTTCATTTATTCCCTTTAAAAGTTAAGGTGCATAAGTTGATATTAGGTTATGAAGAAGTTCATTGCACTTTTAGTTTATTCTTTTATAAGTGATTATAAAAAAAATTATCTAATGACTTATAATTTATTTACATAATCATTTTTTCCTTATTTCAATGAGGAGCTTAATAAAATAAACTTATTAAATAAAAAATAGACTATAACAAAATATTAAACAAAATGATAAGTAATTAATTAATATGATTGAAATTGGAAAAAATTATCTTCTTATAGGAAGTAAAATCTTAAATTTCTTTGTTTGTTATGAGCAGGCAATCTATGGACATGTTAACTAGTGTAACACCACCAGGACTTACTCTACTAAGGAGATTTGGTTCAATTGGGGGAGATAACTCTCCCACGGCATCATTCAAAAGACTTCAGGAAAATCAAGAGGATTCTTCTTTAACTATACCTTTTATTTCTGAAACAAGTTCAGTAAAAATAGAGGATCAAGTTGCCTCAACACCATATGTGCAACCACTTAATAGTGCTAAATTTTCTGTACATGAATTGCCACCATCACAACAACAATGTTCAGTTGCAAAATCAATAATTAATGGTAATTATCATCTCCATTTCATAATTTTAATTTCATCCTTGTATAGTTATATATATATATATATATATATATATAGTGTAGCTAAAAGATCCATGCCCTCTATCACCTTCTTCTCATAATGTAAAATGTCAATATTAATATTTCACTTATGTGAATTAAAACAAGTAGGGATATGATTTTGAGGTGTTTAAATACTAAATTATTTATTAACTTAAAACTTAATTCATTATCCAAGACATTTAGATGACATTTTTTTACACAATTATTGTCATTATGTCAAGGACTTACATAATTTTTGTTTTCTATGAAGGAATCAATATATTGTGTGGGATAGGACTTCTTACCATTCCATATGCAATCAAAAAAGGAGGGTGGTTAAGCCTTATAATACTGATAATGTTTGCTATCATGTGTTGTTATACTGGCATGTTATTAGTAAGATGTTTAGAAAACTACCCTGAACTTAAAACCTATCCAGATATTGGCCAAGCTGCTTTTGGAATTGCTGGTCGCTTGGGAATTGCGGTGAGTACAATAACATTTAATGCAACTATCAAATAATAACTTCAATAGGTGCATACACAACAATTGTTGTTGTGTGAATATGAGGAAAAAACTTACATGTATTTTTTTTCCAAATGCAGATTATGTTATATGTGGAACTTTTTGTAAGTGCAAGAATTTGATAAATATTTGCAATTATTTTACATTTTTTTTCTTTATTGATTCTCATATGTACTTACATGTAAATAACTATTATTTGTAGGCCTCTTGTGTTGAATATATAATACTAGTCAGTGATAACCTCTCATCATTGTTTCCTAACACTCACATGACATTTGGTGGAACTGACTTCAATGATGAACAAATTTTTGCTATCACAGCAGCTATTCTAGTTCTACCAACTGTTTGGCTACGAAATCTAAGCTTACTTTCTTATATTTCAGGTTACTTGACCCATATTATGACATATTTAACAAACTCTCTCTTTAAAATTTAGTTGCTAACAACAATTACCTTTGTGCTCAGTTGGAGGAATATTTGCAACAATACTTGTTGCACTCTGCTTGTTTTGGGTTGGGACGATAGACCAAGTTGTTGGATTTAAGCCAGGAGAAAAAGTTTTAGACATGGAAAACATATCTGTCTCAATTGGTCTTTATAGTTTTTGTTTTGCTGGTCATGCAGTTTTTCCTAACATATACTCTTCCATGAAAGAACCATCCAAATTCCCCATCGTGTTATATATTTGGTAAGCATGAAATTTAGTATTGAATTTTTTATGGTGTATTGTAGCTCAATTTACTTATGCAACCAAGTTTAATTCATTTAAGAAAAATTAAGGAATTAATCTATAATGTAACTGAGTTTGACATTTATTAAAATTGGTATTTTTTGCTTAGTTTATAATCAAATATTAGTTATGCTTAATAGCATTACTAATTTATTTCCCTTCTACAGCTTTGCCTTTTGCCTTGTTATGTACATGAGCGTGGGAATAATGGGCTATTTAACGTTTGGGGACTTAGTTGCATCTCAGTTTACCTTAAACATGCCCAAAGAATTATATGCATCTGACATTGCAACTTGGACAACTGTAAGAAAGCAAATTAATCTCCTTTTTCTTTTTAATTAGAAAGATAGCTAGGTAATCAATTCACATAAGAAAATTCTTTATTTCCTTTTAACTTAAATTTATGATTGCTTATATAAGATTTTAACGAATTTTTGTTTTACAGGTTGTGACTCCAGTGGCAAAATATGCTTTAACATTATTGCCTATAGCATTAAGCATAGAGGAACTCACTACCTCTCCTAGGCTAAGATGTCATGCTATGTCTGTTCTTATCAGAACAATTTTAGTGATATTAAGTTTACTTGTGGCTCTTTATATTCCATATTTTGGTAAGTATGCATACCACCACCGCTAATATTACTACCACCTTTATGAATGAATAAATTTTCTATATTTTGTTTTACTTTGTGCCTTTTGAAGGGACACTCACATTTTCACATTTAGAGTATTAGGGGCTAAGAAAAGAATAAAATAAGTATTTAACCATTTAGTGTGCACTTGAAGGGTCTATAAAATAAAGGATTTGTTTGGATAAATTTGTCTAAAAATACTTCTAGGATTAAAAAAAAAATTGAAATAAATTTCTGTATAAGCTAAATCTAGCTTATGCATAAGTTAAAAAATAAGATCTTGGATAAGTTATTAGGAGATAACTTCCACAAATTAATTTATGCATAAGCTAATTTTAGTTTATAAAAAAATTATTTCATTTCTCCTTTCAAATTTTCTCTCCTAGAAGTTCTTTTGGAGAAATTTGTCCAAATAGGACCAAATACAACTAACCAAATAACTAAATATCAATACTTACTAACATACAAATTCAATGTAAACATTTATATTTAATTTAATGCTTAGTGCATTGTGCACATTTGAAGGTTAACTAAAGATAAAAAAAAAATGTCAAACTCTTGTACATGTACTTAGCCTCAAAGTCCTTTAGACTAGTTATTAGAATTACTCAAAATTGGACGCATTTATCATAATTACTTAGAGTTTAATAATTTATTCAACATTTGGGATTGGAAAAGTTACAATAAAGATTTCATGCATACAAGAATTTGATAAAGTTCCAAATTTACATTTCACATTTCCATTTGAAACAATGCTAATTGTGGGAGACAGGGAGCAAGTACCATCATAAGCATACATTTGTGTTATTTGATGATTTTTTCTTTCAAATTCATTGTAGGTTCTTTGATGGCACTAATTGGTTCTTTACTATCAATATTGGTTGTAAGTTCTCTTATTTCATCTTCATTTTTCTTATACAAATCATTTGAACAAAATTATGTATTTGTTTGCCATATTTCATATAGGCAATTATTTATCCTTGCGCATGTTATCTCAAGCTACATAGTGGCAGAATATCAAATCTAGAGGTAAAAAAATAGGTTGTTATTCAAATTATTATTTTGAATTTTTTGTTATATTGTGATATGAAGCTAATCAATTTTCATGATGCTTAACTCTTTTGATTTTCAGATAACAAATTGCGTTTTGATAATTGTTTTGGGGTTGATAAGTGCTTGTGTTGGAACACAATCAGCTATTTCAAAAATATTGGGCGAAGGGGATTAACTAGTGATTGTTGCCTCATTTATAACTTCTATTACAAGTTTTTGTTACATATTAAGTCTATTTGTATATTTATTAGTCATAATTTTAACTATGTTTCTAGTTTAAACTAATTATAGTTGATTGTTGTCAATAAGAAAAATGATCAGGGTCCATGTTTTCAACTTTTTAGTTTGAGTTGGTTTGAACATTTCCTTGTAATATGTGTATTGTTTGTACTTTATATTTCTAAGGAAAATGAATATAAGTAGCTTAAGCCTTCTTTTATAGCTACTTTCTTTTATTTATTTTCTTTTTGTATTGTCAAGTTCTCTACTTCTATAAGTTTAATAAAATTATGTGTGTACAACCAAATGGCTAATTATGTTAAGTCTTTATCCAACAAATATAACAATGCTTGCTTTTAATTCATTTTTTTTCAAAAAATTGTCTTATTTTGTTATTAATTTATACAAATATGTAATATATGCTCCTTATTTCTAAAAAAAATAATCAAATGAAAATAATTTGTTGTGAAGGGTAAATACAAAACTTTGCACATTTCCAAATATAAGGACCCAAAGAGATATTTTTTAGGAATCAAAAATAAAGTTGTTATATTATGGGTTGTGTACAATTGGTTAGTTTCATTATTCATGGTAGTTTGATCTATAGCTTTTAGGTTTATACTTGGCCAAAACAAGTGATTAAATTGGTGGATTTTATGTTGTGTAATTTCACTTGGTGGAATGATCTATATACTTATAAACATGTCATAATTGCATGGGAAAAAAGTATGTACATTTCTTAAGGAGGGTGACAAAGGTATTTGTTCTATCTCAACATTAAATGAGGCTACCATTATTAAGCTTGCTTGGAAATTTTTGTATGGTTCATAGGAATGGGCAATCTTCATGTGAGCCAAGTTCCTTTGACATGGTCAACCGTTGTATTGGTGTAAATCGTCTTCCGTTTGACCTTCTATAAAGTGTCATGTATTGCAAACTAAGGTTTGTGGTCTTATGGTGGTCAATTCTTGGTGCATCCTTTCTTGCCTATTAAGACAAATTCCTAAACTCCAATAAGTGTTATGCTTCTTCCACAAGCTAACAAACCAATTTGGGCCTCTACAGTACGTGGTGAGCTAACATTCAAAGATGCTTATTCTTTTTGTAGGTTGTAGGAAAGTTTTCCAGCTTGGGCAACAATTATTTAGTTTGTTGCAATACTACCCTTTTGATCTTTTTTGGAGGTTATTACATAGAAAAATTTATTGATGAAAACCTTTGTTTGCATGAAATCATAGTGGTTTCTATGCCCAACCTTTGTGAAGTTGTAGTTGAATCTTTTGAGAATCGTTTTTATAGTGCCTTTTTGTACTAGATATCTGGTCTTGGATGCAAGATGTCTTTTGATCTTTCATCTCCGGAGAACCTTTTTATGATCCTCTAGAAATAAAGGAGTGGCCAAGTGAAAGATGTTCTTTTAGGACCTTTGGTATATGTTATTAGGGGTAATTTGATTTTGTTGTAATAATCTTCATTATAGGAACATAAGTTTCACTGTCACATAGGCCATTTCTATGGTAGTTTCTTCTACAATTGTTTTGAGCTCGCCATCACTAAATAGATTAGCTTCTTATAGTTTTTCTAATAGAATGTCCTTCACTTGGTGGGAACGTCTTCCTAGGTTTTGTTGGTGAGGTTTTTTTTCATAATCATAATGGTTTGCCTTTTTCTCGTTTTGTTTAAATTGTCTTTTTGAGTTTTGTCTAGTCCCTCACACTTTGTTATCTTCTCCTTTCTTTTTTAATGCTATTGGGTTTGTGGTAGATGATTGTTAGGCCTAGGGTTGTCAATATTGTTGGGATGTCTGGTGTCTATAGTGATGCTTGATAGCCCTATCTTTTATAAATAATATGAACATATTACATTTTTCTACATATGACAAGGTATAGCTTTCAATTGATATCACATCATAAATTTATATAATAATAACAAGATAATACAAAGATTTATCCACATGCACTATACAATGGACATGAATTACATTTAATCATGCATGTGACACCAATAAAAAATATCATGTGGAGTATTGCCTCAAGCAACACAAATAGTAGCTTAGGAGAATATGTTCGATCACACCTTCAATGCACTCTCACTAGAAGAATATACTACCAGGATTTAGTTAGGACAACAAAGTTGCGCAAGTTCTGCCCCATGCACACAATGGGCAAGACTAGGGCTTTCCAAACCCAACTATCCCCCAATGACTTATTCCCAAACTTTTACAAAAAAGAGTCTTCTTTAATAGTGTATTTCATATCATACCCACTATCACAAAATTGATTTATGCTAAAAGAGGTTATACTTTAGACCTTCAACATGCAAAACATTATTCACAATAGGTATAAAGTTTTTACCTATCTTACCTATACCTTTGATTTTTCCCTTTTCACTCCCAAAGGAGACTGATCCTTCATGTGGTTGGAGGTCTAGGAACATGACCTTTCCCCTGTCATGTGTCATGAGCAGCCACTATCTAAGTACCAATGTGAATTCTTTCTTTTCCTATTAAGGATATCTACAATAGAGATTATTTAAGATTTTGGTACCCAGATTTTCATGGTTCCTTTTCTGTTAGTCCCCATGCCTTTGATCTTACTCTTTTGTTTGCTTGAAGTTTTATCCCTATTTCTATTGGCTTCACAAAAAGAGACCTAGGGTTTGGTTTAAGATGTCCCTAAGCCAAGGTCAAAGCTAAGACTATTTTTGGTAGATAAACGTCTTCTATGCTTTAAGAGCATGTTTAACTTAGAAGATCCATTGACAAATTTAGCTAGGTCCTTTTTGAATTGTAGGATTTCAGCCTCCAATCTTGCAATCTTAGGTGGGATGAAGGTTGTGATTTTGTCCTTGAGAGATTTTATCTTTTTTCCTACGTCTAACATGTTCTTCCTCAATTCAAGAAATTTTTTTTCAAGAATCTTTCATTTTTCCTTTAATTTCTTGTACTCGAGGGAGATCATGTGAGAGTTAGCCAAGAAAGTCTTATAAGACATCTCATCATCATCTGATTCAGAAAAAACTAACTTGAATTAGTTCTTACCTTTATGTTAGTAACGTTTGACTCAATGTCTGCCATGAGGCATATGTTGCCCTTCTCATCATTTGAATTGCCACTACTATTACTATCCAGATCCCCCTAAATGGCTATTAGACTCTTCTTGACCTTCTTTTTAGAAGACCACCTCTTTCTTTGAGAAGAGCAGTCTACTTTCATGTGACCAAACGTCTTGCATTTGTAGCAAACAACATCTTTATTGTCAGTCTGACTTAGCTTTCTAAATCTTTCCTTCTTTTTTTGAAAGTTCCTTAATCTTCCTTTCTTCTTTAAGATGTCCTTAAACGTTTTAGACATAAAAGATATCTCATTATTTGTAGAGTTCTTAGAATTTTCATTTGAGTTGCTAGATTCAGGTTGTGCTTTCAATGCTTTCCCTTTCTCTTTCATCTTGCTGGTCTCACCATCCTTCAAAGTAATAATGTCATTTGCTTTAGGGTGATTTTTTTTGTTCAAGAACTCGTAGAGCTCCAAAAAGTTCATCAAGAGTGAGAACTTTAAGATCACGCATTTCTGAGATAGTTGTGGCTTTGGGTTCCAATATCTTAGGAAGGTTGTCCAAGATCTTGAGATTATTTTGAGCTCTAGAGAGCCTAGTTCCCCAAAATTTTAACCCATTTAGAATTGTTTGGAATACTCCAAACATTTCATCTATGGATTCGCTCTCCTTTATGAAGAACAACTCATAGTGTTTTTAAAGTGTAGCAGCTCATTTGAGCCTTACATCGTTCGTACCCTCATGAGTTACTTTGATGGCATCCCACATTTCTTTAGCTATTGAATAGTTGCAAACTTATTGTACTTCATTTTGGATAATGAGCAAGCAAGGATGTATCTTGCTTTAGTATTAAGTTGTAATTTGTTATAGTCATCCTAAATATATTGATTCTCAGGCTTGGTAACAGCAATATCACTTTGAGTGATGATTCTCCAAAGGTTGTATTAGGTAGACTTGATGAATATCTCAATTTGATCCTTCCAATATGAGTAGTCCTCTTCATTAAAGGCAGAGAGCCTTGTAAGAGAGACTTCTTTTGGTAGGTATTGTCCTTCACTATTTCACATAATAGATCTTTTTCCTTTAGTATAGTTAGATATTCAACCCCATCAAAACTTGGCTCTGATACCAAACTGTAGTGAAAAGATACACACTAGAAGGGAGTGGTTGAATAATGCATATCAAAAACTCGCATGATTTTTCGTAGTAAAGTAGTAACTCTAGTCATATGCAGTATGAAGAGTAGTTAGATGGAACACTGGGAATTTTTATACTAGTTCATCTCAACAATTAATACTACATCTAATTCTTAATCCAACCAGATTGAGTTCCATTATCTTTAAATAAAGATACAAGTATTCTTTCAGCAAGCCACTTTTGGCTCAACCCTAAATATTCTTTGACTTATCTCTTCAAGCAACTACCTAAGTATTCTTTTAACAACAAGTCTCTCCAAGCTTAACAAACAAATACTCTTTTAGAGTCAAGCCTCTCCAAACTCAAAACAAGTATTCTTTTCAGATAAGCCTCTCTAAGCACAACCTTATAAAAATGGTTATGAAGGTTACACAAGTATTGTGATTATCTCACTTAGACGTTATACAACCAGTAAATAACAATGAATGTTTACAAGAAATAATAGATTTATAGAGAGTATGTTTTTGTACAAAATATATGTATCACTTAAAATTGGTGTTTTTATCTTTCTTGTGCTTTGAATCTTCTTATATAGTAGTTCGGAGAAGATGACCATTGCAACACTTTGAGCTCAACTCATAAGTTTGCTTCGTCTGTCTTCATTGTCTTTCCTTGTGATGGCAGATAAATGTGCAACTTATTTAATGCGAGCATTAATTGTTTTTCACTAAATGGTACCTCTTATCTGATCAAGGAGGCTACTTATCATCTTTTCATACCAAATGGAGCTTGTAAAGGTAATGTAAATGAAGTGTAGTAGAAAAAATGAATTTATATGATTTTATAAATGATTTTAGGGATCTTTGTCCTTGGTCTTGACAAAAAGTATGATCTTGTTCTCTTTAACAAATTTGTGAGTTTTGAGATGATCTTCTAGTTCAATCTATTAAGGAATGAAACATTCAAAAGCATTTTTTGTTAGTCTCAATATATAATAAACATTTAATGAATATGA